ATGTATTACCAAGTAGATATGTGCAGGAAAGTGACATTAGTTACTAGCATGATTTTTTTTTTAATTATATTGGTGATTGCATTCTACTGTATCTACCAATTCTATTCACTGAAAACTTCTTGGCACTAACCCAGCTTAGCTTTACAAATGTTCATGTATTACCAAGTAGATATGTGCAGGAAAGTGACATTAGTTACTAGCATGATTTTTTTTTTAATTATATTGGTGATTGCATTCTACTGTATCTACCAATTCTATTCACTGAAAACTTCTTGGCACTAACCCAGCTTAGCTTTACAAATGTTCCTATATGTATATTTTCATTCAAACATGGGTTTTTACAGGCTGATAAATTGTCCAAAGTTTGTCCTATTTTTTATATTGTTTTTTAAATTATTATAAATTTTTCATTTGCAACAAATTCTGATTTGGGGGAAACTGAATGTAACATTTGATTAAATTATAGCTAAGTAGCTAGGTAAAAAAAAATAATGCAAAGTACATCATATAGCTTTATATTCAATAGAATAAAAGTCCATTACAAGTAGCTCCTGTATCATAGTATATAGATTTTAAAAGTGCTTTATAAAACTTATGCTGAGTGATTGAAAGGAACCTAATGGGCTGTCAGACTGAAAAGTATATACTGCAGTAAGAAGGGCCCTTTTTGCTTTATAACAGTCTGTGTCAAACCAAGGTTTAGATCTCATACAAAGGGGGCTAGAATAAATAGATGAAACTCTAGATAGTGGGGCTTGGAGAGTGTGGATAATAGACTGGTGATGTGATAATATCTGTTCAGAGAAGTTTGATAAACAAGTTTGGGAGCAGAGTTGAAGGAGGGGTTCTGAATTTAACAGAGCAGATGAGTTTTTTGCCACTCTGGAAGACCATTTATTCCGAATGAGTCTTTTTGTTGTGGCCTTGGGAGGACAGTGAGCTGTAGCTAGGAATATAGTAGTTCCTTTAGGATTCAGACAGATTAATGGGAAATAGTCACTATTCAGGCGATTTCATACATGGAAGTAGGTTATTAGATTTCTATTGGGAATCTCAGAAGATATATATTTATCCCATTTTAAAGAATCCCTGGTAGACAGCACAATGTCTATCTGTCGCTGCTTCTGTCTGACCAGATCCTGACATATCTTTCCAGGTTGCCCCATTTTGTGCTACCATTTGTTGTATCTGTCCTATCTACAGTTGAGGTTTAGCACATATTTTGGTGATTTCCACTGCTATCTGTACTACAGCAACTATAATAATGTATTTTATGTAATTTTATCATATTTTATGCCTTTTTAAAAAAAGGTTTTAGTAATAATTACAGATTTATGTATTTTATTATTGTGCTCTTGGGCCAAAAGCCATAATAAAGGTTTGAAGTTGAATCTGAATGTTATATAAAAATGTACCTCTCAGCAATATAGTAGCATTAGTACAAAACTGAGTCAGAATTATATACTGAAGCACAATGATACAGATACTAAACTTTAAACAATCAATTTCTTTCTTTTACCAGTGATACAAGCATTCACTGGTTTAATAAATTAGTGTTTATTTATTTATTTTAAAAACATTGCCACTATCAAGGCTCATTTGTACTACATGCTTAAAAACAATACATCTCACTGATAAAGACAGAAGCTTAATCTAGGTACCCACCTGCACAAATGTAAATCCAAAAGGGTATGCAGGAATGAAGGGAAAATTCATGCCCCCCCCAGGCTAGTACCAGACATTTTTGCCCTAAAACGTGTGAAATCATTTGGAAACAACTGGGAATGTTGGGCCATTGCTTATACACACGCACATATTTGCATCAGTCTCCCTTTATCCTATGTGTTCAAGTGAATGCTTGTATAAAGTTGAAACAATTCCAGTTGTGCAGAATGCCCCAGAATGCAACACACATTCACATATTATTTATAAACTGTATTTGCAAATCAAATTTCCTGTTCCTATTAATTAACATAAAAGAAAAACATAAATAGTTGACTGCTTTCAAACTTCACTGATTCATATAATCAGTCAATATCACTTTAATTGGAATTGGAATTTTTTTTTTCCTGAAGTCAGTAAGATTACTTCCAGGGTAGTAACTCCTGAGTTTTATTTAGTAACTGAATGGTATATTTACTGGTATACTGAACTGCTTTGAAAGCAGCCATAATTGGACACTGATCAAAGTGTTACGGCCTTGAGCAAACACTATTTGTCACTCACAGAGACTATTATGTAGATTGTTTTTAACAAAAGTTTTAATAGTGGAAACAAAACTTTTACAATAGTGGAAAAGATCTGCAAGAAAATTGTCAATGAAAAGCCTCTGAATTACAATATATTTGCTTTATGATTCAACTTCATATTTTATGTTATTGGCTTCTGAATTCCATCATTTTCAGTCTTTTTGATTAAGTTTAAGTTGACATTTTCAAATCCAAAAATATTAACTAATCATATAGTAATTTTTCACCTCTGATATTTTTTTAAAAGAAGAAAATACCGTATTTTTCCGACTATAAGACGATACTTTTTTCTAAAATCC